CCGCCTGCGGCCCTCAGCGGGTTCTTGCTTTCCTTGCAGAACATGGATCATGGAAGAGCCTGGGGCTACCTGACCTTCAGAGGTAAAGCCTGCGTGTTTCCCTGCGGACCAGGTCTGGAGAGAGCATCTGGGCGCACGAGGGGAGCGGGATGGCCGCAGGAGCACCGCAGCCCTCGTCCTGGGGAAATTCGTTTCGCTCAGATATGCTAATCAGAAAAGAAGTTCCCCCTTTTTTAGGTTCAAACGTTGGGATCTAGCCCTCACAAGAAGGAGCGTGGTGGGAGAGCCAGTGTAGGCTGACCGTGGGGAAAGACAGCGCGCTAACAGGGGATTAGACGAGGTGACAGTTTGTTTTGAGACTTCGAAAGCAAGAGACAGAATGAACATGAGGGTATTCCCAGGAGTGGTGGCAAGTAAACTTGTTACTGGGATTTTAAATTAACGCTTGGAATTGAGTGACCTTTTCAAAGCTGCGTTTGAAGCTAATATGTATTAGGCATATGATTGTTTCTGACACATTTCTCATTCCAAGGTTTAAAAATTGTTGAGTATTTTTAATGTTAAATTTCCCGGGGAACTTCCAGCAGTGTAGAGAGAAAATACTTTTGTTCCTTAGCCGTGGAAACTGAAGCAGAGAGAGATGAAGTGATGTTATAAATTAAGAGGGAGAGTCAACCATGGAACCCCGAGTATAGCAGGGAAGATACTGTCCAAATCTTTGAAAACTTCCTTTGCTATTGCCTGTTGTAGCATTTTTTCATAGCAGAGAGTTGACACTTGCTGGATTTCCTGGAGGTTGTCGGTAGCGTTGTCCACTGGTGTTGGTCATCTTTTCTCAGGCAAAACTGAAGAAGAAGTGAGAGAGATTGACAAAGCCATGTACCATGACTGGCGTGTGGTGCCCAAGCATGAGGAGGAGGCCTTCAAGAAGTTCACCCCAGTGCCGGAGGAGACCATTCAGTACGTTCCGTACCCACCTCTGCTCCGAGCCATGATCCTTGCGCAGTGGCAGAAAGAGGGAAAACCAACCACAGAGGAGCCAATGATTAATCTGGAGAAGGTCATCAGGGCCTCTTCCCTTCAGGCTGCAAATAAAAAATCTACAGGGACGCCAGTATAAAGACTCGTTCTATGCCCTGAGCTTCCCACATGCTCTCACTGTGTGTTGGAAGCACATCATCTTACAGAAGACCCCCTTGTCCACTGTGGTATGGTGTATCCAAGTTTCCTAGCTTTTTCCCCAGCCATACTGACAGTCACCTCATCTGAAAGGGAAGATGCAGATGCATTCAGATTTTTTTTCCCTTAACTTTGGTCTCAATCAGCCAAGGAACCTTCTTGGTTCCCTTTATAGTCTCTGAATGCATAGCTCCTGTCATCCAGCTACAGTTCTTTGGAGCACAATTTCCTTTACAGCCTGAAAATTAGAGTTTTAAGAACATTTTTCAGGGAATTTGGGTCCTACATAAATCACAGAAAAATGACTGAGAATGTAACATTTCACAGAGCTGTGTACAAATGGATCTACTAAGGAAAATAAATGTTTTCTTATTTCTGCAGCACAGTCCTAAGAAAACTTGGTGGTTTTTTTTCAGTGCATGGAGATGATCATGAGGTCCAAATGCAGAGCCATTAGCTCACCAAATACAGGCCCAGCATCGGATTCCTCTTAACTGCTGCAGAATCACCTGAGTTACTGACGTACGATGGCAATGAACAACATGAGGGGAACACGACTTTAGATACTAAGCTTATCCAAAGCTATCCACCCCTTATTCCCAGAGATGGCTGTCAGGAGATAGGAGAAATCATTTTTGTTCTGGTGATGCAAAGCATACAGGATTGGCTCTTAATATTTGAAGCCGATTGCAAATTATCACCTGTTCCAGTGCAGCATGTTGTGGTGAACGTTAAAACATTCAGCTCCTTAGTGCAGTTCGTAACGTTTCATTTTCTCTTGTGGTGGCCGTGGGTTCTGCAGCTGTGTCAGGAACTGTTGGGGGGTGTGAGTGTGGGTGTGAGTGGCAGGGGCACAGGAGCTGTTCTGGTTTGTAACCTTACAGAGCAGCTCCCTGCAAAAACAGCGATTTAGTTCTTTGGTCTGCTATAGCAGGTAGTCAAGAGGTGGTGTTCCATTTGCTGCAGCATCCTGAAATACCAAGAAGCCTGAAGGGATTTACTGAGGGAAAGCAAAAACTGGACTCTGTGCCCTGCCCAGTGTGCATGGCAGGCCCAGATGGGACAGAGGAACACATGTCCCCAGCCACCAGGAAAAAGGCTGTCGTCAGGCAGGAGCAAACAGCTTGACATCAGCTACCTGGGCTTCCATGGGGTTCCTCACCAGAAGCTCCTGAAGGATTAAGGTGCTATGGGATAAGTGGGAAGGCTTCTCTCCCGAGTTAGAAGGTGGTCCTGTGCCATGGCGCAAAGGCTGGGAAGAGCAGGGACCCTCTGCTGTGGCAGGAGCACTGCAGGGCACATGCCAGGGCTGGTTCACTGGTTTCAGAAGCAACGGGAGAATCTAAAGGGAGGGGAAAGCCCTTAGTGTGGCTAAAGGCACAAACAGTTTGGGACTTCCTGCTGCAGCTGCTGTGGATGGAGAACAGCTGCTCTGGTTTCCAGAGCCTCCACTGCCAGGTGCTGGGCTGAGCTAGTGCCTTACTGTGACTGAGGTGCTACAGAGCCAGCACACAAACTGAGCATGAGTGAGGGGGGGCAGGAGGTGTAGATAGGAGTTAGATGAGAAGAGTAGCACAATCTAGTCCTCTGTCCTGCACAGCTAGGAGTTGAACACAGAACACCCCAGCAGAGGTGGTGTGCTGACAGGGTACAGGCCCATGGAGCCTGACAGCAGTGAGAAAAGCCAAGTGCTGTTAACAGGGTCCACCAACAGCCCCAGACAAGGCAAGAAGTGACCCATGACCAGGGTCCATCCAGGGAGCCCAGCCAGGAGCAAAAGCAGAAGGAGATAATACACCATAAGGCATAGAATCATACAATGGTTTGAGCTGGAAGGGACCTTTCAAGATCATCTAGTCCAAACCCCCAAGTCCAAGGGAGTCCCTCTAGGAGCTGCTGGAGATAGGCATGGCTACAGCATTGCCCAGGCAAAGGCTGAAGGCCTCAGCCCATGCGTAAATGAGGCTCCTGGGCCATGGGTCGAAGGGGCCCATGTATGGGTAGGTGCCCAGATGGGGCTAACCAGGACAATCACAGCTTGCTGGTGAACTCAGGGCCTTCACACTAGAGAGGCCAAGGGAGCGTCTTCACCCAGAGCCTTGGGAAGGTCCCCTGCTGGAAAACTGCACAGCCCTAGTTTGCCATGTGGTGGATTCAGTGCCTAGAACGTGCTATGAGCTCTGCCAGGACTCCCAAGCCTGTGCATTAATCTCCTAGATCAGAATGGGAGTAGTCATCTGAAGGACAATGGTAGTCAGCCCCATGCTCAGGCACCCAGGTGAGAACTGGATGTGACTGCACTTCACCCAGTGCCCTGCTCAAACTGCACCTGGCCATAGCGAAGGGTGCAGCCCCAGGGGTGCAGGATGGGTCCCAGGGCCTGTCTCCAAACCTCGTTCCTGAGATGCTTCTGTTAACCCAGGAGGCACTGCCTGTCTTACGCCACCCTGGCCTGCACGGGACCACAGTGCCAGTGTCAGCCATGGAGGTGACTCGCCTTGGGGATCGCTGTCAGGGCAGAAGCCGCTCCTGGCGTACGGAGGTGGCTCCCTTGTCTATCATTGCTGTGTGATGCAGTTCTACAAAATAAACATGAACATGTCTAAGGGCTGCTGGGACTAAGAGTAACTCATTTCCTGCGGTGCTGAATGTCGCCAATTCCTATGGGGCTGAAGTACCACCCTGTGCGGACAGAGGACACTGGCAAACTGAGTGGTGAAAGCTGAGCCCCATGTGTAACCAACCCTGGCAGCTCACCCGAAGGGCACACCACCAGGATGGCTGCAGCCAGCCAGCAGCTGGCATTGTCTTCTCAGCCTTTTATTTCTGACGCTGGGAGAAGCTCCAGATTGCACTGCAGCTTGCAGGAGCAGCCCCTTCTGCTCTGACCCAGTGAGCACTCCACATCTCCTGTCTTGCCACTGAACTGCTCAGCGGTGAACACGGGAGCTGCCATTCCCACCTCCTCACGTGTCCTGCTGTTATTAACCACAGAGCAGAAGTCCCAGTGCCCCTGGAGGAAGGAGACGTGCTGCACCTGCTGATGTTAACACATTTATTACATACAGAACAGATACGGTTTGTTGTTTGATAGCATAGGGGACAAAGCGAGGGAACGTATTCGTACAGCGGTCTCTTTACAGAATGCCATCTTCAGACCAAACAGCGGAGTTTACAGGCCTTAAGACACTTTTTAAAATCCTTTTGTAACATACAGGATACTTTACATACATCACAGTGGAGATATGACAGGGAAGCGTGTTGAAGCCAGTCAGTTCTCACCTCGCTGCCCAGCAGCCACCAAATGCCCGCGCAGCGGCTGGTTCTACTCAGCCGTAGCTGCCCCTCTCGGACACGTGCTCTCGGAGCAAATCATGCACGGAGCTGGGAAGGAACCTGGTGGTAGAGGCCCGAGACCGGTTTCCTTATGTTGCCAGGGCCCAGTGGGTGACAGGAGACTGAGTACTGCTAAAACCAGATGGAAAACAAACAGTACGAGGTAAGAGCGTTGCAGTTCCGTATTTTCCTACGGAAGAGTCGACAGAGCGAAGGAACTGGGCGTATTGGGGCTTTTTGTCTTTTCCTTTTCCTTTCAATTAGCCCAAATTACAAAGTTCACCTGGCCCCAACTGATGAACTGTTACACGTCTGGGGAATATGTGGTCTAAACGTTGATCTTGTTAACCTTAGTGCACGCTGTGTTGGGACCCAAAGAGCTCTTCCTAGCAGAAAGCATTTTGGGACAGCGAATGAGAAGTCTGCCACGGTCAGCAGCGCCCCGTGAAATGTTCCCCCGCAGGCAGGTGGCAGCTCCAAGCACCCCTCAGCCAAATGCCAGCCACAGAGCCCAGTGTGCCATGGCTGGAGGACGCTGTCCAGCTGGTTTCCTACCTGGGTGTGCACATCACCAGCACGGCTCACAGGCACCATGGGCACCACTGTGCCTCAGACCTCTGTTCTCCAGAGATGTCCTCTTGCCTCCTTGCAGGGGAAATGCTCGCCCCAGCCTCTTCCGAAATGTGGATCCAAAAAGCATTTCAGTGCTGCTGCATCAGGACAGATGCCACATGTTAGAGCTTCCCCTGGGAATACCGCATCCCTGCAGCACATGAATAGCTTTAGACCACCAGCCTTAGGGGCAGCCTGATCCATGGCAACAAGCCCAGGACACAACTGGGAGCTTTCCAGGAGATGGAGGCTTTGCCCAGCTATCCCAATATCACTGCACTGGCACAAGGACATCCCGAGGAACCCTGGAGTGCTGCACAGCTCAGGGGACAAACTAGATGAAATTCACTGCTAACAACTGCTACTCGTTCCAGTCCTGCACATCTAGGAGGGAGTGTTCAAAGGAACCAAAACTTGTTCTTGTGGCAACAGGACTGTTTCCACTGTCAGAAAGGGAGGACAAACCATTGCCTCTACATCTCGAGCTACCATGTTCTGCATCTGGAGCTCAAAACCACTCTCCCTGGCCCCATTTTTTGCTACTTCTCCTATAAGCAGGACACACCTTTGCAATCGCCCAGCACTGCTTACACAAGGAGGGCCATCAGAATTTTTCTTGGGAGTTGCCAATTCTTTTCAGGAGTCAGAAACTTCTAGCTTTTCAAACTACTTAGTAACGCAGTCAGTGCTCGCGACGTTAGGTAAAAGAGGTCAGGAGATCTGTCAATTCCTTTTTCTGTGGGACCTCAGGCGAGACACAGCCTTTCTATACCTTGGCTGAACCTCCACAGTCTTTCCTAACCAACAGCCACAGTGTGAAGGAAAACAGCCATCTCCTTCCAGCAGTTCCCGGGATGGGGACACGACCTTATGAGTCAAGGTAATCTCAATGTGTTAATGCAGAATTCACAGCAGACCAACATCATCTGCCCTCGCCTGGGTTTTAAAAGCCAACAGATGCTATGCAGAGATAGCTTTCTCCTCAAACTTTCA